ATGTATGGAGAGAGAAATGACAGCGGAACTAGAGACCAGATCTCTAACATTAGAAGAACTATGGACTAGGTGAGAGAACATCGTAAAGATATCTGTATGTATAGGACAGAATTCTAGCCTACAGCAGAAAAGTAGAATTTACGAGCCCGCCCGGAACTATTCATTCACTGTAAAATCGCAACGCATCCAAAATTGGTCGCGAATGCATGAGGTGAATTCGAAATTGGATATCTTATTTCCATCCGCTAAAAATGTTCTGATCGACGCGAACGGGTGAAACATTTCGTGAGCTGTCATACGCCACTGTCTTTCCTTTTAACCAGCTGCAACCCTTGGACGTTCGTCCTCCGGTTCCTCCTACAACACCTGCCTGTGTCTTACAAGTTTTGCTTTTCTATTTGCAGACTTGGCGTTATGTGGAGAGCAATGGAGAGAGACCAGAAAGAGGAATATTTTGATTGAGCACGCCAGACGGATACAGAGCATAAAAAGAAATATCCCGGTAAATAATTAATTACGTTCTAATGTCAATGAGCAGCAGCTCTCTTATACGTCTGAAAGCTTTCGAAAAATGTACCCGAGAATTCTGAGAAACATCAGCGATTCTGATTTATTTGGGATTAACTGCTAGCGATTTTAAGTAAGAGATCTCTTCCTGAGTCTTTCTTTATTCATTAGTACTACATTTTATGATTTGAGTAGATCACAGCTGGTGTAGCGTAAGTCAACAAAACTACAGAAGGCGAATCGTTTTGTTATATTTCGAGCTGACTTCCTACGAAGTCTAAACTGCACCAAAATCCAGAATATAATCATCATCCACAGTCACACCGTCGTGAAAGCCTCCCAAAGTCTTGTGGCTGTGTTTCAGTTAAAGTGACTTCAACCTCGATACTGAAGCAGATTATACCTGGAAGACCTCAATGTAAAGTCACACCGCCGAGAAATACGCGGGAACTTCAGTGTCTTTAATATTTGCTTCGTTTTAATAATCGTAATGTAAACATTCATTTTGTATTATCAGAGGTTTTCATGGCGACTAAGCATATGCCAACGTCTCGGAAAAAAGATACTTTCTGAATCTTCAGGTTTGAAGTGGCTATGCGGGGAACTGGAGAAAATACTGAAGACAGTTTCTCCGAAAGGTTTTCATCTACTTACGAGCCACGACACCAAAACCCATGCATAAAAAACTCATCGAGATGTTATAATATGAAAATAGGAGTAAATTAAATATTTAATTTTGCAATTGCACATGATCAAAAGACGTTGTAATGTTCCCGTCTTTCTGCATTACATGATTCATAAATGTCGCCGATTTTCCTTCTCTGGTGTCAAATCACGCGATCAGAAAAAAACCTTTAAGGAATACTGTGACCTGAATACCATTTTTTCCGAAAGAAAAAGCTTCTTCGGAAGCAGGCGCGTGAGAAAAATTGCGGCGATCAAGAACTGCGGACGCCGAGACGCGTTGCAACGCCGCATCGACCGACCACGTGGCTCACAAACGGGACGCCGAGGCAACGACAAGATTTGAGACTCACTGGGATAGAACCTACCCGATGATTCAACGCTTGCTTGATCTAAAACCCCTTCTTGTAGACATGGACAATGGACACAAGTCACCTACATGACGTACATTCGGCCTCAATCACTCTGATGATGAAGGCAGCATGCACCTTTGAAAAGTCTGTGGGTGGACTTGTACCAGGGCAAAGTGCCCCAGAATAGTTATCTTCATAATGTATATCGTTCTCTTAGTAAGTTCAGAATATGTGGTTAAAGGAATTGTGAGATTTTCCTGACATCTTTTCCTTACATGCAGTCAGTCGATCGCTTTATTCCGCTGCGCTTTGGCAACAGATGGCAGATGAAGTTTGAGATAAACACAGGAAGCGTGTGCCATGGATAACCGTAATCAAGTGGTTACGACTAAGGAACTATTTGTTTCTACTAAACGTGCCCTGTCGACCATGCGCAGTTGTTTCCCCCACTCCTTTACCTTTCCCTTGTGCTCCTTCAGACGGTGTGTCCTGACTCGGAGACCACTTCTGTACAGGGTTTCACCCGAAACTATTTACAAATTCCGTCTCGGCTTGTCTTTCTAAATTATACTAGTTCAGTTCGATTATATTATTTGTGTTTGTCTTTATTGTGGCCTTTTGGCTCTGTGTTCTATTTGGTTATTTTTCATTTTTACCGATCCACGCAGATCATAATTAAAGATCTCTTTACTGGCCCAAGTATTTTTCATTAAGTTATGATTTTTGTTACTTAAAAGAGGTAGTGGATAGATGAAGTCAGCAAGGTATGTTCGTACGTTTGAGCATACCTCCCGCGCATCATCGAAACGATCCGTTTGCGCATGCGCGGTGGATTCCTCTATCCACTGATTCGTCACAGACGCCATTTCGTGAGAGTAGTGTCAGATAATATTATTCCGTGAGCGTTAAACATGTTTAAGAAAATTGAACGGCCCGCAGACCGTGAAATAAGGTCTGTTATTCGTTTTCTTAACGCTAGGAATGTGCGGCCGGTTGATATTCATCGCCACATTTCTGAAATTTATGGTGAAAATGCGATGAGTGACGGTATGGTTAGGAAATGGGTTCACAAGTTCAATGAAGGACGTGAAAACGTTCATGATGACAACTCGATGCGTAAGGTCGACGAAAATTTCGTGAGGACAAACGGTTCTGCTCTCTCCTTGCATTTTCCTAGAATTTCAAGGCCTGCTCTTTATGAAAATTGTGTTCGCGTTGGGTGCCCAAAATGCTCACAGAGGAGCACAAAAACGCAGTTCTGCAAGTGCTTTGACATTTTTGACACGTTATCACGAGGAGGGAGATGAAATGTTTTGCCATATTGTGAGTGATATGTATTCCATTATTCTTTAGCCTCAACATTTCATTTGAAACAAATATAACTACGCCATTAAACAACACCACTCTCCTAGATTTACATTTCACATCAACAGGAAAGAGCTTTCCTTCAATAAGTCGCTTGATTTGCCACATATTAGATCGAAATAGTTCCCAGCCAAATTCTTCAAATAAGACAACTCCGAGTTCAAATAAATCACTCCCAAAAAAGCTCCCACTGACGGGAAACGATTTCCAAGTGACATACGAAACTGGACTCCATGGCACAATTATCAAGAAATATTTGGTAATTTTGAAAATTGGCCATTATTCATAGAGCGTATATTACTTTGTAGCAGCATTTACTTATGGAAATGGTAGTGATTATTTTCCACAGGAACGGGTAGCCCGGCTACTCTGTGGACAGTGTTTCCTTTAGGCAACAAACTTGCTGCGATACCTGTATAAGCCATCGTAGTGACTTTCTTTTGTCGTCCTACTAACAAATGGTACAATGTTTTACCGCATCCTCCTGGACCATCAATGCAGAAGTACGGGTTTTTCGACAGTTGTCTTTCCGTCTATATGATTAAGTATTATGCCAACCATTTCCTTTTGTTTCTCGTTCAATGATTTGTACATTTCTTCGCCAATTCCAATGTGTTCCTCAACAGTTAATTCTTTGTTATTTACTGTCTGTAATTTTTTAATTACCTGAGGCAGTATTGGAAAGTCTTTCAAACTTTCCCTTCAATAATTAACAATTCATTAATATTAGCATGAGCTTTGTCACGTGCGTCAGAGTCAGAAA